AGGAAAGATAAAATACAAAGTTTTTAATGGATAACAATTTGTATTTTGAAGATAACTATACCAAAAACCAACCACTTGAAGTTTTACAGACAAAAACATTTGAAAAAGTGTATGCCCTTGAGAGTATTGCTGAAAAGTATGAACACACCATACTGAGACTTCTCCCCTAATTTTGTGTTTTCAATCCCATCGAGTTGATTTGGAGGAAATTAGAAGAAAGCATCAGGCGTAAAAATAATTTTCCAAAATTTGATAAGAAGATAATAGAGCTAGTTAAAGAAGAAGTATCTAATTGGTCGTGCTAGGTTGCACTATATCGTTTACCTGTACTATATCTTGTAATTGATTCTTAATGGTTGTGAAATTTTTGTCTTTTCAATATTACCACCCATAATACGAATTCCATAGTTATACCTATTTTATAATATTTGTTTTCATACGAGTTACACTTTACGAAACTTATATAAGAATACTTGATTTTGGTGGGATATTTAAAAATGAAAAGGACAAAAATTCCAGAATTGTGGTACGTCGATGATATAGCTAGAAATGAGGTAATCTTGAATGTAGACGGAGAAACGACGAATATAATCATAATCGGACTAAATGCAGAGCAACATTAAACAAATATATGCAGCGAAGACAAGAGCACACAATCACAGACATCACAGAAAAAAAACGAAAAAAAATGGGTAGAACAATAGAAGAAAGTGAGATATTGAAAATATGAAATAATTTTGCTTAGATAAAAATAGATACTTGAGACATAAGAGTGAGTGTACAATTTCGCCATGGGGCGGATACATCGAAATTAGAAGAAAGACAATCGTTGACGTTCTCCGAAGAATCTGTTCAAAATCGACGTAATGATATCTAGATAGCATCCCTTCAATGAAACATTTTTTTACAATCTCAACATAAAGAAAAAACTATATTACTTATAAATATAAATTATTCTTATTTAATTTAATTAATGTTGGCATCTAAAAAATCTTGCCGAACCTCATTTTCCCATATAATCAAAATCTACCCTTATCAGAAAGATACAGAACTTGCCACACCGAGAAGATGAATGATTTCATCCAAGAGTCGAAAAAAAAATTGAAGCTGGACATGACATTGCACTAAACAATCTCTGTTGTGGGCAGATTGATGCAAGAAATTCAACTAGTGTTAGACATGCCCCCACTTTTCAAGGACTTCTTGGTTCTTTGACAAAAATATATTTACCAATGTCGCGATAGACGGTTTTAGGTCAAGATCATCGAAAGTGAGTAAAATTACAAATCATTTGCCTCGACGAGCAAGTGAGTCGGCATTGTAACCACTGAGTGTGCATGCAACAGGTTTGTTTACAAAAAATCACTGCATTTTCGGTCGGGTTGTTTTTAAGTGAACGTCGTCGATTTTGGTTTGATTGGTGTTTTCGATTTTGGAAATATTTTCGAATACGAGGTAAATAAAATTGATTTTTTTATAATAATTCACTCACGCTCTGCTGGTAGCAAAACCTTTTCAGAAGTAGTATTGTCGGGAAATGTGAAGAAATTGTGGTTTATTTTTGATCTGATACGAGTATATCTCAATTTTGTTTACCGAAATATTCATTTCAACCCCTACCCTAAAAATTGTACACCAAAATTTTCGGACGGTAAATGGCTGAAAGGTTATATTTTATCAAATTTGGATTATTGTATTTGTAACTATTTGGGAACTTGAAAAAAAAAATTTCCGCTACGATAATGATGAAATAGGTATTAATAATTTTGTTCTAAACAATTATTGATTCGTTTTAGCAGAAGAACAGAAACATTCAGCTACCAATAAAAAGTTGAAACGCTTTTTTTCAACACAAACTTCAGATATTATGCCAATTGTTATAATTTTTGGAAAGAGTTCCGAGTTTTTTTTTAATAAACGTTTATCGCAAATTCTATTTTCATTTGAAACCAAGATATGCGCCATACGGCCATATAAAATTGAACGAGTGCCTGCCATGAATTATCTTCACAAGTCGCAATGAATTATGCATAAGTAAATATTTCCATGGTAATGGCTGGAATTGGTATTTTTTTTAATAAAACAGCTGATCTGCTTTAGCTGATGGATTAGTCCGGGCTGTCGAAACTTTTATAGATATTGCTAAATCACGAAAATTTGTCAAGTAGTGATTTATTTTCGGTGTTCGAGAATATAGTTTTGGAACAGCTAATGAAAATATTAGGAAAAAAATGCAATGTGAAGAAAGTGAGACTACTCAAATAAATTCTTGCAGAGCACAGCACGGAACAATGAAAGAATAGATTTTATTGATTTAAATAATTCCAATTGGTGGTAGATTGCGTGGTAATAAATACGAGCTGTACGTAAGAAAAATAGATTTCCAAGCGATTTAGGCATACTAGTTTTTCTACAATATAAACATTTAATAAAAAATATTATTAATGGAAACTTTTTAAATCAGAATGAATTAATAATGAAATAAATGATTTTATAAATGAAATGTGTTTGTTTTTAATCAAATCTGATAATATAATTACCAATACATTTTTATCTTGCTAATAAAACAGATATAATGAATTCGACATTCCATGAAACTTCAAACAGATGGAAAAGGAATGGAACCCCGCCGACATCCATGTGGAGAATCTATTCTTTCAAATGCGAAAGTTCACACGTACCTACAAAGGCGTATGAATAATTCTGTCGATTCAAATGGATACCGTTTTCACTCATTTCATTTTCTTATCATCCAATTACGATAAATGGATGACTTGATCATAATAAATATATTCTAGAATGAAAAGAACACTTCTGGTTTGGTATATTCAATATATTTAAATTCGCAAAAAATATGTGAGTATGTTATTGAATAAACCAATATAATTGAAATGAAGAAGTTGTTCAACAGAAATAAAATTTATATAAATCGGCAACTTTTTTATTATGTGTAGCATGTTTTGGCCGTTGTTTTTTGAAAAGCTACAAAATTTTCCTAGATTTATTCAATGTCAATCTGTTGGTATTTTTTGAGTTTTTATAAACAAGCCTTATAATAAATTTAAAAACCGGAAAGCTCATTTCACAGATTGTTCATAATTCAATGAGAAACCACAATTTATGTAAAACTTTCGTTTCAAGTTATACTTTTGCATTGATAGAAATTCGATATCGCTTGTTGGGATACATCAAGTTTTCAAACACGTCTTTTCTCAAATTCGAATAAGGATTGATTCCAAATTTTCTTTGCTCGTCTGCCAGGCCTATAACTTCGCTCTATATTGGACGCCTACTCGACAATTTTCAATACCATTCACTCGTACCGAGCGAATCTCATATTCCAGAGACGGAATAATAAAAATCAAGGTTAGGTTATGGCAATGAAAGCCTTATGCGCTCTTCGCACACATCGAGGTTTTTCCTCCGAGGATTTTCATCGCTGACAGCACTGCGAGTCCCGGACTGGTGTTGTGCGCGCTTTTCTGTGCTTAGTTTTGAAACAGTTCGAGGAAGTTACAGGTATTTATAAATTTTAAAATAGTCTTCTTTTGTTTGATGTAATAGATGGAGGGATCGATGATTTCAGGATGAGGTGTTAGAATAGAATATCATTTATTACCTTTAGACAGTACAGGCTGTATGGAAAATGTCAAATGTCACAAGTAGAAATAAAACATAGTTATTAACGTTACCAGCCAGTTGTAGCAAATAACAGATGAGGTTGAATATTGTATAACAACCGAATCCGTTATTAGCGTATCGGCCGTGTGTCGTTCAACACTTTTCGTAATCCCGCTGAAAGATTACATTTTAATTCCAAGGAAAGAACATACCCCGTTCTACAGAAAAATTCCAACATCGTGTTAGCATGGAACAGCTAACAATATCACAACAATATTATAAACAACGTCGGTTTTTTGTGTTCGCGAATTCGCTTTAACAACGACCATGGATGAAATTGAAGAAATTGAGGAACAAAATGAAATATTGGAAGAATCATGTGCATTGAGCGTTGATTTACTGCCGAAAATAACTAAATCATTGATATAAATGAGAAATAACATAGGAAGAAGAATGGATTTCTGAGGGACACCTAATTCATTTTTCCTATACTCCGGTGATGTTTCTTTATTGTAACATATTGCTGTTTACTACTCAAACGTGACTTTGATAAGAAAATAAATTTTACAGTAAATAGTGCGATATGTGCGAAGGAAAACAATTGTGAAGCGAAATTGACCAGTTGACCAATTTCTGTGAGCAAGTATTTTTTAACAATAAAAAAAATGATTGCTTTTATCGATATCGAAATGTCTCGAATTAAAAAATCCGTGCTACTGCACATATGTACTTTCTAATAATCGCCGTATTTCACAATCTTCAGTATCTTTTTTCAACAAATTGGTAAAAAATAGCGGAAGGACAAGACATAAGAAAACCTCATAAAGTACTATTATTAAAAGCGAATAGTTGCACAAGGCGTATCATTATCTTTCACTCCTCGGTCTGTAGGTATGTATATTTCAGTCGACGTTATCGCTTTACTCGTATACGCTAGTCGAGTTGCATCACACGACAATTGTAAATTAATTGTAGACATTAACGATGCACAAACATCAATCAGGCGCGATTCTGTAATGCCCTGATTGATGTCTGGTCATGCAACTTGTTGTCGTCTGCCTCGGTGTCATCTGCCCTAACACTGCGTACAAATCAACAATTGAAATCTTAAATCAAGAACAAATAAAAAATTGTGAAATAAAATATACAAAAAGTCTCTTGAACAAAGTATAAGAAAATAAGAAAGCAATTCAGAAATTGTTAAAAATTTAAAGATTCAATTTCGTCAAACCAGATCTTCTTTTCGTCAAAGATTTGGAAGATATGTCGATAATTGAACGAACATTGATACAAAGATTTTTCTTTATTTCACAACTCGTTCAAATATCGAAGAAATGTAAATTGGGTATCGATTACTAACATTTTCATTCATTGTGCAGATTTGAAATGACGAAGAAAAAACACACCTTTCCATCTACAGATGATTTCAAATCTACGTAAGTAATTTTAAATAACATAATTTTAATGGATATACGAGTATTAAATATGTATCATATGATTTGTTGAATTATTGAAAACAAATTATAAAAGTCATGATGAGATCTTATCCTGAATAAATTGATCATTAGATCTTCTATTTTTTTCTAGAACCACCTTAGCCAACAATGATCAAATATCTACAAAACTCAGCATGGAAAGCACAATCAGTTTGGATAAAGTATATAATCCTTACGAGCATCGAATTCTGCAACACCCCAATACGTAAGTTGATGACTAAAAATCAAAATTACATGAAAAACATATGTTAATTTTTTTCTATTTTGAAAAAAATTCAAGAGAAAACAGAAAACAAGGCTTCGTATTAAAGTACAAGGTCTGCACGTTGCCGTTACGCCGATGTAGTCAATTGCATAATGAGAACACAATTACGTAGATTGAACTATATTGAAACTATACTGGAAGGGTATCTGATTTCATGCTCCCGAGCAATTTACCTAAAGGAAATTTTACATCAGGCAATACTAGACAAACACACTATTGGCTAATTTGTCTCCGTCGAATTCCGTTTTTCAAAAAGAAACAAATAAATATTATAATTTTACTTACCATCATCTTTCAACACATTTTTTCTCTAGTTTTTCCGGCGCCCTCATCCACATCCTCAAGGGATCTTTAGGAAGCGGGCTACTGGCTATACCCAGAGCTTTCATGAACGCAGGATTGTTGGTGGGAATTTTCGGAACGATCTTTATTGGATTCATTTGCACTCATACCGTTCAACTTTTGGTAAGTCTCGCTTTTCTTGTTATTTTTCTGCAATTAGAAATAACATAATGTAACAATTCAAAAGTTTGACTTGGTAGAGCCTAACACGAGTAATCAAAATACCTTAATGGTAATTTTCTTGTGTTCGTAATATTTTCCAGGGTTGCACATCAAATATTCAACTGAGGCTGAAATAAAGTTAGTGAAAGTTCCAGCATTTTTGAACTGTAGTCAAAATTTTTACCGAAAATTCTATAGTTGAGAAAAATATACCTTTGTTTTAATTAAGAATGTTTGTGACTCTAATAATATAATTCGTTAGTAGAGGCCAGAAATGAAAACTATAGAAAATCAATGTCGTTTCGAAAATAAAATCGCTATTGTCCAGCATGAAATTTGAAATTTTAAAAACTGAATGAATAAAGAAACAACGTATTTTATTTTATTATCAGTTGAAATTTGTTTCACGTAGAACTAGCTATATTTTAGGTTTCAGCATCGCAGAAAGTATGCAAAGAAACAAAAACTCCCAGCTTAGGTTTTGCAGAAACGGCCCAAGTCGTTTTTGAGAATGGACCGAAAGGACTTCGGAGCTGGTCAAATTTTGCAAAGTAAGAAAAATATTGTTTCGTTTGTTACTAGGAAATATACCGCATAGAAAATTAATTTTTATTAAATTGACTTCACTTCAATTTCATCATTTGAATATTGGAAAAGTGATATTTTTTTTTGGATGTGACTAATAATAATAATAATATAGGGTGTTTGTTCACTTGGAGGAGTTTAACTGATAATGTAGCTGACTCATCCATAAATTGAGTAAATAAATACCTTTCCCTCATTTGGCAAATGCTGGCGGATGTAATTCTATACCAGTCGTGGCATTATCCAGGGAACTATTTGTTTTTGATGGCATTTGTTGAGTGCTGCTTAAAAAGTTGGGAGAAATTAATGTTTCGAATTGAAATATTTAATGTTTTTGCGTATCTAGATCGCGCAACACAAAAATCAGACGAATTCAAAATAAATATTATTATGTCTCATCATCTCGATTACCGTTCTTTTTGTTTTTTGAACTTCGTAGAAATATTTCACTCAATTCAAAAAATATATAGTGTTAGGAAAAATGTCAGTAATGGGAGCATCTACTTGAAACTTGAATACTGAATTAAAAAAGGTTCTCTTGAGTACAAAAAGTCAAATAATAAATCTTACACTTTTATTTTCTGTTTTTGAATCGAAGTAAAAACGTAGTTTATTACGGAACAATTAAAAAAACCAAGAATTGTTTTCTTGTATTTAAGTACATTAGTTGAAAAATTCTGAAGAAACAGGCTAGACTTTTATTTTTTGTGTTTGAAAGCATAGGTACGTAGATTTCCCCTTTCATCCAATATATTTTACGAATGTATCCATTACTAGTGAACAGTATTCTTACATTTTGCAATCTGAATCGATATTGTTTTTCAGGATATTCGTGGAAGTAGCTCTAACACTCACCCACTTTGTGGGTAATGCCGTGTACATAGTATTTATATCGGAATCCATCACCAAGGTAAGGCACTTTAAGGTCAGGTACTGCGTTACTAATAAACTGAATGATTCACAATCAACAGTGTCAACTCAGATACTATGAAACTAGGGCAGCGATAATTACTATACCTCAAAGCATCAAATCAATTCAATTTCTAAGAAGAATGCACTAGAACTGAATTCATTGATCAATTCAAGTGCTTGGGTTTCATGGAGCTGAATGAAACTTTATCGTTCAATGAGCATTTCTTTTATATGAGTAAAGTAATAATCCAAAAACTGTTTTCGAGAATTTCTCCATATATCAATATATTTCAAAATAACTGTATATAACATGACTATTTCGCTATATTTTGACAAATATGGTGATTACTACAGAAATTACAAAATCGTGGTATGACAATAATATTACAATGTCATTGATGATCAAGTAGCATGCTGAATAGATATTTTTTTTAATTTGCAAATACAGTTGACTAGGGCAAAATTTGCTTATCATCAACCCAATTGAAGTTCATTACAATGTCTATTATTACTATTGTATATAGTAGATTGTATCCTACTGAAATTAGGATCAATTATAAATGATAAAAAATAAATATTATTCTCATCTATTATAAAACTACTAAGTACTAAATTGAAAGGGTATGTTTTTAGGAGTACTCTTTATTGAAATTGATATTCACCATAAAAGCAAATCAATTTGCAGTATAACATGAAATCTCTAATAAAAAATGTTGTTTAAAAAATATAATTGCAAGTATAGTTGTTCAATAGTAAGCTTTTATTGAAAAAGAAACCGTTATGGTGCGGCAAAAGTAATTGCCCACTTTCAAACACAAGTAATTTTTTGGTCGACAAAATAATCGCGAATAATGTTTTCTCGATGGACGGAATTATTTAAAAGAAATATTTATTTTCAGCTAGTTGCGTTTTACCATCCACCAGCGGCAGATTGGGGCCAATATTTCAAAGTCGTCCTCCTCATTCTGCTGATTTTGTTCTGCCAAATCAGAGAGCTGAAACACCTCGTGCCCTTCTCGTTCATAGCCAACTTGACTATGGTGACGGCGTTCGGGATTACCGCCTACTACATGTTCAGAGAACTGAAAGACGTTCAAGTGTCTGACAGGAAACTTGCGACGGGATTGTCCGGTACGTATTTCAATAAAGAAGTTGTGGGAATGGACCAAATAATGACCGCAAAAGTGAAGACATTGCGGTTGATATAACGATACAATCAGAGTTTGATAGAAATACTGTTTTTCGCTATATCATTATCTTTTAGGTAAACGCTGATTCATAAATTCTATTTATTTTTTCTCGTATAAATTGTGCGAGATATATGTATATGCAGAAGTAAGTAAACTTGTCGACAAACATTTTTGAACTGAGATTTACTATAATAAATTCCAGAAATTCAATCAAATAGGGATTATCATATTACTACTATTATTAAATTGTATCGACATATGAAAGTCGCGAAATCATTTTAGTTACACCATTTATAACTCAAGAAAGACTGGATCGATTTTTTTTAGTTTCGATTTTTATTTTCACCCGGAATGACAAAATAACTTCTGAAATATTCTGAAAATTAAGAAAAATATTAACAATTAAACAAATTGATAATGTTCGGTTTGTAAGGTTATGATAGTTGTCACGGTGCGCACAAAACAATTGCTGTTATATTTTTTAGGAGGGGCAAAAACTGAAAAATGCCACCCCAGCTCACTTATATTTATTTTTTCTTTTAATACCTTTATAATTTCAGCTATCAGACCTTCCAGAAATATAATGCATTCATCGCTGTTCTTCCTGTGTTAAGCCTATTTATTTACAAATATATAAAACATGAACGTCTTGGATATATAATTTATACTTAGCACAGGATATGATTCACAATAAAAGTATGTATGAAAAAATAAAAATTAAATAAATTATTGCATATTGTGATTTTGAATTACAATTTTACTCTTCGAGCTTTTTGTTCAGCAAATAAATTTATGGCCTTGTCATATTTCAACTGTGGCATTCGATTTTCTATCGCTAAGATTGCCAGCTCGATAAGTGTTCCTGTCTCATAGAGAATCGCAAGTAATTTTTAATTAGTTTTAGTTTGCTAAAACTTCCTCACAGTTTGCGGATGTAGTAGGAAGCGTAGAATAAATTCGCAAGGCAATACAAATATTAGAAAAAGCATCCTGCAAGTCATGCGCGTAGATCTGTTCCAATAAGAGATAGAAATCGGTAACCTTTTCTATATCACCAAATATAAGTGGAGCTCGCTCCACCTTTCAATTAATTGAATTTGAAATGATCATTTCACAGGCGAATGAATCTCTCACTTTGTAGGAATTCCGTCGTTCTTCAGCACCGTCGTATTCGCGATGGAAGGCATCGGGACCATTATGCCTGTGGAGAATTCCATGACCGACAACTCGTTTATCGGATGTCCCGGTGTCCTGAACACTGCCATGACCATGGTTGTGACCTTCTACACGATGGTGGGACTCTGCGGGTATTTGGCCTACGGGGATAAAACGGAAGCTACCATCACGCAGAACTTGCCCTCGCAGGACGTGTGAGTATTTCTGAGACTGGTTATCATCTCCATATTAGTCTCATTCCTTCTTCGATCTTCCTCAATTGCGAGTTTAGTGCTATGAGTTTAGTAGCATTGAAAGTTCATTTTCTTCTTATTTAGACCTGGTTAATAAAAACTTGTAATTGATTTATTACTATGAATTTATTTTTGGTTTATCCTTGTTTCATTTCAACTCAAGCTTCACCGAATTAAATTCTTTCATGTATTTTTCTGTTATTGTGTAATATTTCCATTTCTTCGTCCGTTTTGTTAGTGTTATTATCTTCGATGAAATTTATACCTTTCAACAGATTTTTGAAATATAATTCCAGTTTTTCATTATTCAAAAAATTTTTTGTTATTTTGGTTATTTATAGGTTAATAAGAAATGATAGACGTATGTTTTCAATGTCTTTGCCGTGGTCTTCTTTGGTTATATCTCCAAACGATTCGACTGCAACTGCGGCAGTCATCTTCAGTGTCGTGGTCGAAGTACTCTTCTTGACGAGAAAAGTGAAACTATCAGTTAACACGTCTAGAAGAGTACTTCGACCACGACACTGAAGATGACGGCTGAAACGTTTGGACCAAATTTTGTCTGATTATAATTGCAAAAAACTAAAAAAACATATCTTTCCTCAGTTTAGCGCAAACCGTCCAAGCCTGCATCTCGACGGCCATCTTCTTCACGTTCATGTTGCAGTACTACGTGCCGATAGACATCACCTGGAGGAGGCTGAAACCGCATATCTCCAAGGAAAAGCAAAACCTGGCTCAGATCGCCTTGAGGACTGCCACGGTAACCTTCATCGTCGGAGTTGCTGCAGCAGCAGGCGATCGCTTGGGGGCTCTCATTGACCTACTGGGTGCCATCTTCTTTTCCACTCTCGGCCTCTTCGTCCCGTCTCTTTTAGACATAATCGTGAACTGGAAGAATTGGGGGAGGTGGAACTGGATACTGATGAAGGATATATTATTGCTGGTTTTCTTTTTGTTTGGATTCGTCACTGGCACCTATTACGCTCTACTCAATTTCATTAAAGACTAGTTTTCTATAATACAGAGGATAAAGTGATTGTCGACAGCCTCTTGTGAAAAACGAATGCTAATCAACTTCACAGTTCTTCGGCTATTGTTGATCTGCTCATTGTTACAAAAAGACCAATTTATGCTAGAACATATTTTAACCCAAAAATAATTTGGGAAAATTCAAGTGTTATTTATTATTTTCTCAATAGCTTAAAGAAGACATCGCAATAGTTGAACTACAAATATGACGATTCATTATTATTATTACATAGTATTATGATGTTTTGAAAACATCCCATGACTGCGATATTTTAAAATTGTTATGTTAATCGGGTGAAATGTAAATTTTGTAACATATTTAGTTTTTAGATATTATTGAAATATATCTATTATCGAGATAAATGATATTTCCTGACACAGAGTTTTAATCGATAGAATAGATAATTACATGTAATTGTCTTAATGTATATAATACTTCATCTAGGCTATTTTTGTATGGCGAACGGGTCAAACAAAAGATTATATAAGCATTCGAGTAATTTCATTACCTACACTGGCGTGCGTTTGGATGTTTGATCAAAAATGTATATTAAAACTATTTGTACATCCATTCATATGCAATTATCATGAGCTTTATCAACAATTCATATTCTTCGGGTAATAAAGTACCTAATCAAAGCATTATTAGATTGGATCGAATCATGATGTCATCCTCTTTTCCACCGAAAATTTATAATATGTCGGACGATTTAATCAGATAAGCTGGGCAGGTATGTGATACATTAAAAAGTGCTTATACAAAGTATTGAACAGTTTTAACGAAATTCAAAATTAAAAACAATGTTGGGTTGAGAAAATGGTTAATGTTTTCGCGGCCGAGGTTTTCAGTGTCACTATATTTTTCGGGTTTGAATGCCGTCGACTTTTAGAATTCCTTCCTGACGTTTCGCTTGCCCCAGTGGTCAGCTTCTTCAGAGGTTTATACATCTTGAGTTAATATCTCCGATGACTTGATATTACGACTGCGTAACTCATATTTATGTTGACTCCTCAGGTAGTTTGCTGTGCTGATACCTGTATCCGGAATAGGTAAATTGTCAATAACATTCATCGATCCATTTCTACCTGCCATCATGCGGCTTGCCATTCTTGAAATTCTTACAATTGGATTTCATATTCGGTTGAGGTTCACAACTTCCTCTTTTCTGTTGAAATCATCCATGTGTTTGTGGATATCTATTGCCTCCCGTACCAGTCGTCTATGCTGAAATTTCCTCATTCCTTTCATTAATTTATAGAACAGTCCAAAACAATCGAGAGCATTGTATGAAAATTCGTTCGATACGCTTTCAAAGCCGGTACCTATCAAATTGTTGAATGTTTCCGGGTTTATTAGCCGTGGTCTGCAGGTTTTCATATCTGACGTTTCGTCTGCTACTGCGGTAGACATCATCAAAGGCGATGCGGCAACGGTCGAAGTGATCTATCTTGCTGCACCAGGACCATTTTCGGTATGCGCATCCGACAATTTATTCGTTCGATAGTTTTTGAATCTATCGCAATCGACCAGACAGATACGGCGGGGGACTTTAATATATACAATATAATAATGTTCTCACGATTATTCGCTGGAACAAACGCTGTTTCCTTTTTACTCCACAATTACCACCTCTATATGACTGTTCGTGTTTTCAACTGAAGAATTCCGCAAACACAATGGTATTTCGTGAAACAAAACCGCAAAATCTAACGGAATAAGAATTATTAAGTATCCAAAGTGGTTAAAACACAAATGCGTGATAGATACTGGATGACTACAAAATATTGTAATAAATGAGTAATTGACCGAACAAAAAGTAGGTTTATCCACCAGATACAAGAATCATTTCAGGTTTAGAAAGTCGAAACGGAAATGCGAATGACAATTCAAAATAAATAATTATCTATAAAATTACTCCCCCATTTAATTGTACATACCAAAGTATGCTTCGTAGTTCGTTAAGCCAAAATGAAAATTTTTAATTCTCATATTTGCCTCATATACGGACATTTTCATGACTTTTTGAATCAGTCGTATATTTGATATATTATTCAGAACGAAAACCTGAAAATCACAGTCTAGTATCTATTTTAAATTGTATGTAAAACCAAACAAATGAGCATTACTTGTAATTATGTAATAATTAATATTCAAGGAGAAACTTCAGCCAGATTGCTCAGACTATTTGTTTCTTTGAATATTCATAGGTGGAAAATTATAAGTGATAGTTATTTTATATAGTATAACAGAAAGAAATAGCCTATCAGAGTGAAATGCAAATTAGTTTTGCATTAACAATTAAATAACCAATTAATAGTCTTTCGGTAAAACCTAATTTGAAAGCTATTTTTGTTACAGTAACACACAGGAAGCGCAAAAATATATTTTGCGGCGATCATATTTGAAACTAATTTTTGAGTTCAATCAAAAACTCATCGAAGTATAGATACCAAATCATCAACGATATAATTCATGTTTTCCAACAACGGAATAGATATAATTGATGTAGGTACGTGAAACGAATACGTTTTTAGATGGCCGAGTGATATGACAAACTTCAACGTACGTAGATTTCCACTCGTCGAATCACTTACAATAAATATTGTGACATTTTCAATACACGTAGATATTTCTGAAACAATTGTGAAGTACCTTTGAGAAGATTTATCGTCTGAAACTCAAATAATTCCAATAGAATTATTAGCAAACTAATTGATATGATCTTCTTATCCCTTGAATTTGAAAATATAATTACATAACATCAAACAATAGAATTAGATGTACATATTAATTCCACAGGCAACGGATTCGTGAAACTGAACAATTGGAGTACTTGAAAAACTACTGATCAAATCGATAATTATAATTATTTGTCCTCAAATCTCAAATAACGGAGATACCTTTCAAAAAATCTTGAAAGAAATATTACAAATATTGTAAAAAATGTG